TGCAATTAACGTCCATCTACTAGAAAGAACAAGTCCAGGACAGACAGTGCTCGGCATGTCAAGAACTCTAAATATTGATAAAAGGCACAAATCAAGAACAGACTAGTTTCCAACGCCACTATAAACACCAACTGCCTGGCACATTTTCTGTAAACCTTCTGTGTTGAAACTCACAATAATTTGCATAATGTTCCCCCGATCATTTGACGGACGTGACAGAGGCATTTTTATGGCAAGCCGTTTTAACATTTCAATCACAATCCAATCTGTAACTATGCTTTAGATATAGTGTCTTAGATATACAATAGCGTTGCTCCCAGTAAATATCCACAATAACATATTTACTGTACTTCAAGATATTTACAACTTTACTAGTTAAAACAAAATTTTTAATTCCTTAAAGTATAAGTGGCCATTTTAAAATTTAATTGCCAATTCCTTGTCAAGAAGAACATTTCAGATATATCCACAAAGTCATTCATCCTAGGACAAATGATGTTGCTTTTGCTAATTACTTTGCTAATGTGTATTGGGTTCTCAATTTCAGATATTCACATCATTGAACATGACGTTTCTGGCTATCAAAAGTGGAACTGAAAGCCCAATACATGAGTAGCAAAAATGATGTCATTTGTCCTAGGGAAGAGCATCATAGCGGATATCTGCAATGAACATCCAGTCTAAATGTTAAATTGGCTTGCCATACGTTTTAGCCGATGCAGTGGTTTTCCTTATGGTCTAACTCACATCCATCACACTCACTGAGCTCTGGACATATATTGTACAGCATACCAACTGAAAGATGGGGAGTTTCTGTGAACGTTTGTAATGCATTGCAGGAAGATGTTGCAGCAGAATCTTAAAATATTTCCATCTGGTAAAGGGGACCCAGCTGCTGATTATTTCCATGTTTCAGTCGGCATAGTCTTTATTGGTACTTTGCAATTAGACTCCTGTGGAGAGCCAAGATGGTGTGGCCCAGTCCAATTCTACATCACTGGTATATGCGATCTTACTCTGACTCTGAAAAAGTGATATCGGTCTTGGGCAGTTCTGGATGAGAAAGTGAAGTGTGATGGATGATTCCCTTGAAAACCAATGCAAAGTGAAACCTGAGCTGTATATCGGCATCGGTATGGATTAATGTGCACAGCATGTAGAAGATAAACTGAATAAATACCATTAACTCCCTTCAGCGATGCTGGATCAATCTTATGTTCTCACCCTGTCATCTCATATTGTACATAGTCTTTTTTTCTTTTTCAAAAATAAATATGTCTATGTACAGTGCTGAGAGTGGCAGGGGGTTAGAAACTGTGGATTTTATTTTTTTTGCAAAGCTGGGGGGACATGGTTCTGTTAAAATCATCAACAACAGTGACTGAGACTGTCAGACATTAAAGGCTCAATATGGATTCAAACAATATGGTTCTGTGAAGATGAAGTAGGATCTAGATGCAAACCATGTCAGGAGTACGTTTTTCCCACATTCACATACTGTAGATGATCAAACATTTTCTCTCGTGACTCCACATTAAACAGATCATAAATCTTTCGTGGTAAACAATTCACACTCCAGACTTTAAGTTCCACAACATAAATACAAATGATGGTGTTGAAAACAGTGATGTAAAAAAAAAAAAAAAGTCCCATGTTTAATACAAGGCTGTTGCAGTATTTGGATGTGACACTTGAAAGCGCAAGCCTGGTCTCCAACCTTTTATACTCTGAGAGCTACTCATGTTTTATATTAGGTTACTAGTTGCATTTAATCACATATGGTGGTTCCACTACTGGAACCTGACGAACCCTGTACTTCCTCTAATTATCACCAAGCATAGCCTCTGGGGTTGACGCAGACCATCCTACCTTGTTTTTCCACTATATTTTCTCTGTGCCTGTCATTTTTACATTGGGATCCTGCACTAGTGCCATTCCAAAGGGTCGCCAATATCCTGTCCTTGTGCAGTTCATAGAGATCAACCAAGGCTGGTATAATCACGAGTCAGCCAGAGGCGAGATGTGACGTCGCTCGGCGGGACATCTGTGTATTTGATTGGATTGCAGTTTGTTCAGGTTCGCTAAACGCAGTTCAGTTGTATAGCATTTTTAGTTTTACCATGCATGAATTGCAGGCTACATACTGTATATTCTCTGAACCCTTATGCAAACTACTCAGGGAGCGAGTTACTGGTAGCTTGTGAGCGACATGCTGGAGACCCCTGCTGTAAAGGCTCTGCGATATGTTTAACATAAACTCTTTGTAGAACAAACTAAAAACAAATCAATGAAAAACCCTCAAAGAACCACACTGAATGTGTGACACTGATATTGATGATGTTGATGACAGCTACTGATTAACATGCACACGGAAAAGCTTTTGCTGAGGCATTATGCTGAATGTTTGCCTGACAGAAAAGGCCACTAAAAGCACGCTGCTTTCATTCAAGCGTCTACAAACTTAATGTGAGAGAGGACTGTCTGTGCTCTCGACCACATGCAGACCTAATGACAGCATTCAGCAGCTCAACCACGAGCCAGCCATTTTCTCAGACAGCCTCTCACTTCAAAATGATCAATTAAAGGTTGAAATAACTAGTCATTTTAACATTTTGATCTGGTTGTCCAATACCAATAAAGTAATTTATGGTGCAATACATTAGGCGAGTTGATGCGGAGACAACAGTGATGTGAGCAGCTTTTAAAAGCATTGT